TTTTCTCAGGCAACCAACTCATACTTCTCCTCCCTATAGTGTATGTGGGTGTTTTTCCCTTCTGGTCCCATAAGACTCTTCCATTTACATCCCTACAAAACTAGCCTGAAAGTAAAAATGGAAAGCCACAGCAACCCAACCTTTAATTACTATAAGCTCCGTACCGAAAGATCACTTTCATGCTTGTTGGTTTGCTTGTACCAACAATACCTACCTACACTCTTCAACAGTTTTGATGAAAATTTTGTCATCTTGGTACCCTTATAATTATCAGACTTTTCTTAAATTCACAGCCACATCTGTTGCAGCGGGAAAGCAGTGATTCCACTGCAGTGACTGAATTTTCTTATTCTGGTACTTGCTGGAATGCAGTTCTGAAGAAAGAAATGACCCGGAACTGCCTTGCGTGGATTATGGGCTTCTTTCTTTCCTGAGCTCTTCAACCAAGCGGCCTCTCCACTGCACACAACACACTGAATAGCACTACTGAGGACTAGCTCCTGAGATTGGTTTTCCAAGGTTCCCATTCCTCTTCTACAACGATAACTCATGCACAAGTAAATGGACAACATGAATGGAAATTAGTTAATGGACTTCAGTGGTTTTGCTAAAGAAGAACCTGAGACTAGCAATGCAAAAAGTAACTCGCATAATTTCCATTGATATGATCCCTTTTAAATCTAATCACATTTAGAAATTGCTCCTGTTTTTGATACGCTGCAACATGCTAAAAGACAAATCTGCGAGGCCTTGCAACAGTTGGCCTCAAATAAAAGAGAAGAACCTCGTGCCTCCCCCTCGAACAGTCCTCTTGGTGAAGTAATTCTCAGCCCTCTAGCTTCCAAACTGAAGGTAACATTGCAAAATAAAATATAGTATGATCAGAGATGCTTGGCACATTTAAGTGCTGCCATATACCATTATAACTTTGATTAGAAAAATAAAAAATGTTCAGATTTCCACAGAATTATCTTACATGCAAACATGCTCCATTTGTTTTTAGTTTCATTTCTGAAATAAACCTCCTTTCAAACAGCCCTTTTAAAGGACAAGTTTGTAAGTACTGGAGTAACTATTCTCCCAAACACTTAACAGAATTTAAAGCTCTTCAAAGGCAGGGCATACTTGTATTAAAAAGTCATTACCATTCCTCACTCTCCCTCACCCCACATTGAAATGCCATGAAATATCAACTTTACAGAGGAAGTGAATTTAATTTAAAAAACATATCGTCTGCAATTTATTACCTTAAACTGATAGAAAATTTAGAGTCACTCTCTATATTGCTGCTTGTCTTCACAAGGCACAGGCTGCTTGCAACAGTTGCCCAGCTTAATTACACAGATGCACTATCCTGGCACTGTAACGACATCCTCCTGTCATCAGTTATTTGATAAATCATTTATGCTGCCAATCTAACTTAGACGTGGTAGACACGTACCGGGCTGCAAGAACAGCAGCCCATGCTCAACCAGTTAGTTTTGCTGGGATCAGATGGGTGCGTAACAGCTGAGTGGCTTTTGCTGTTAAAGAACACCAGGCTTTGGCCTAGCTTTAAGATCTTTAATGCTATATGCAGCATCTGTACCACACACACACACACACAAAAAAAAAAAAAAAAAAAAAAAACAAACAAAAAAAAAACCTCCCACAACCATGCCGGACAGCAGAACAGTACAAAGAGGATGCTTTTGGCCTAACATGTGTCATGTGGGAAAAAAAAAAAAATTGCCAATCTCTTTTGAAACCAGGTAAATCTAGAGCAATGATGCTCATTAACTACAGACTATAAGCTTAATAATGACTCCTTGAAAGACTGATCAACCAAGTGTCCTAACTACAATTCAGATGTTTTCTAACAGGCTTTTTTTGACCACGAAACAACCTGAAGAAACCTCACCCCAGTGCTTGATGCTCTTATTTCAGCTGTGACCACCTGAGCAAACGTTGACTAGGTATGCGCTAGTACTAGCTCCCAGTTCTGTCTAGATTAGTGCACAAAGCCTGTGTATTAAAAAAAAAAAAAAGGAACAAAGTAAATATTTTTACCACTACTTGGCTCAGAATAACTGTAACATAACCAGCATGCTCAGGCGTCTGAACCTGAAGAAGCTGTAGCACTGACATCTAAACCATGGTGCCTGTGTTCTCGGCTTCAAAAAGCAGGCTGCTTTAGGAACAAAGGCTTATTTACTTAAATAGAGCAACTGTTTCTGTTTGCAGGAAAGAATACATAGGAGTGAAACAGGAATTTTCGCATTATGAAATTTGTGTGTTTATCACATTCAAAAAGCATTGACTTTTTCTTTTTCTTTTTTTTTTTCTTTGCAACAGAATGCCAAGGAAAAGCCAATATATTTGGAAGCTCAATTAGCACCTAACAGAGTACCACACTTTTCTCAGGAAATTTGGACTGCCATGTGTTCAACACTTTAGATTTCAGTTAGTTCTGTGGGCACAACAGAACAATCTGAAAGGGTTAAAATAAGCTGAACACATTGGAAAGCCCACACAGTAGCATGAATGCATACAATTTAGGATTAAGTTAAAAAGAGTTTAAGGGTTTGATGATTAAATCCTTGCCCTCGTTCTCATGTCTCTTTAAAACCTAATTTCAGTCTAAGCTTAAATTTTTACATCTGTCATGATTGCCCACAGGGGCAATTACAAAAAAAAATACTGGATGGAAACTGCTCTAGGATGAAGGTTGACAAATTCTTCACAAGACAGTGCAAGGCTGAAACAGGAGTGGGTGGGAGAAGACGGGGTAATTCGTATGGTCAGATAAGGACCAAAACTCCAAGGGGAGGAATGAGGGGAGTGAAATCAACTGCCTGAAATTGCCCAACACTGAGCAACAGACATGCAAGAAAAGCTGAGGTAACAGGGGAGAGCGGGTCTGACTGGCTTTTGACAGATGGAAAAAATTGAAAACTTTTCCCCCACTGCGCAAGTAACATTATCCACAGTCTTTATTCAATCATATTTATCATATGGAATCAAACCTAATTAAGGGAAAATTTTGATACACCTCAGCTAGAATAGAAAGCCCTCTACAGGGCTTAAGCAAAAATATAATTGCTTAATCTCAAAATTAAGTCTTAAGTATACCAATAGTATTTTATATCAAGTGGTTATCTTTAAGAATGAGTGGAAAAAAGGACAATTTACTTTTTTAAAGGGTGTCCTCTATACACGGCATACATATAAAATACTCTAACATCCTGAAATTTTTTCAAAGCTTTTTGAGAAACACACACAAATAATTCAGATTTAGTCAATTTTATTTACAGTTTGCTTTTTTTACATTTCAGAGCATTACACAATTACATATTCTCATTTTCTGACCTGCAAACAGATACCTTAAACGGAAATATTAAAAAAAAAAAGTTAAGATACATCCAAAATGCAACAATTACACATCTGACAATTCACAAAGTGTAATTTACTAGGACGTATCCTAAGAATTTAGGAACAACCAGTCAGGAGAAAATCTGACCAATTTAAGCAATCAATTATTTACACATTCAAAACAAAGCCTCTCTTAATCTAAACCTCCAGGCAAATGGCCTGAAAGATTTCTTCAGGAAGAAAGACCAGAAGTTCTAATTCACACCTATGCAGCATTAACAGCCCTTGATCCCAAACACTGAGCAACTTCTCAGCTTTGTCTTAGAGCTACAGGCATCCCTCTCAGCTTCTCCGACCCTGAAGTGTTATGTTTGTGCCCCCATGTGCATAGAAAGGCTGAGTGTTTAAGAAGCGGTCACCAAGTTAAAACCCCAGTTAACCTGGTCTTTAAATTACATTAATTTTTCTTCCTTAAAAAAATTTAGTTAAGTTTTCTAATGTCATTTAAACTAGCCCTCGTGGACTGGGGCTTGCCATCGTAAGATGTTTACATATGCTTTGGACCCACTTGCACCGGCCAGACTAAATACATTAGAAACTATTTGAAATAACGTTTAAAGACCATTTAGACAAGGCTTATGTTTCTATACTTCCCTGATGGGCCACAAAAAGATAAAATAAAAGTCACAGCTACTACTTTCATCCCTTGTGTTAACCCTTTGCCACACAGCAACTAGGTACGTACTGGGTAGAAACTACTAAAAAAATTCCCTGCAAATAAGCTGCCTTTCAGCTGAGGCTATGGCTCCTATGCATTGGGTGTTTGAGGAGTTAAAAAAATAAACAAAACAAAACAAAAACTTGAAAAATACTGAAATTCTTACTTTAGGCTAATTATGATTGCATGTTCAATTTGTTTAACCTCCAAGAAACCGCTACAAATGGAACAATTTTAGTATAAAAAGAGCAGTCAACCGAGTGCAACTTCTGACTTGGTAAGTCCTTCATGGTAGTTGTTTAACTAGGCTATGAGTTTTGTGGAGCCTTCAGATTTCTTGCCTACCTTACTGTCCATGTTCACGTTTCAAACTGTGTCAGCAGGGCCCGAACTTCGGGAGTCAGCTGCTTAGCAGCCTTAGCTGCCTCTGTGATGGCCTTGCGGTAAAGGCCCTTTCTCTTCTTATTAAAGCGCAACTGGAAGTTTTCTAAAAAGGGGGATAGTTGTGAAAGAGCAAGAAAAGATGTTGTTGGGGACCCAAACCACGATATACGAGCCTCCTGACGAACTAAAAGGCCATTATCTTTCCGGCTCACAGTTATGGTAAGAATACGGGCTGGCCACCAAGGGAAGCCATAAATCTTGGCCCAAACAATGTCCCCTACACATATGGTCCTGCCATCTGGTGTGACACATTTAGAGACGTTTTTGGAAAAGACTTTCATTTTCAAGGAATTACTGAGCTTTTTCTCTTCCTTTGAGGAGGAGGAGGAGGAGGAGGAAGGTGCATGCATGCTGCCTGGAGGAAAATCAAAGCTTTCAGTAGAGCTACACTCAGAGTTGGTAGATTTCAAATCATCTGTGCTATCGCTACTACAAACTGATGCACTGGAAGAGTCAGATTTCTTTTGATTAAGGGTCATGTAAACCGTTATATTGCTTTTGCTGCCTCTCTTGCCCAATGTCTGCTGTTCATCCTGATCAACAGTTACATGCACTTCACTTGTGTCCTGAACCTCACTGCTGGCCTCTTCAGGGCCTTTTGAGGGGCTCTGATTTTCTGAAGGGGCCTCACCTGCTGAGCGGGTGGAGGAGCAGCGAGACTGGGGCTTAGTTGCCATCTTGCCACTCCGTATTTTCTCAAGTCCTGTCTTGAGAGAAGAGTCATTTTCTTCATTCCGATACCTCTGTGGCTTTAAACGCAACCGGGGTGGGAGGGAACCTGAGCTGGTGTTCTGAAGACGCCGCGTGAAGTGGACCTTTGAATGTGCATTTTTGGAAGAGGAGGTTGCACTCTGCTTCTTTTGTGCCTTTTCTTTGGCCATTTTCAAGACTTCCCGAGCTTTTGCATGATCCATGTTTTTGCTCTGGAGAACTTTTTTTGTATTTAACTGCGCTTTTGAAGTATTTGCTTGTGCAGAAACTTTAACTACTCTGCTCCTGCTGTGGGCCATATTTGAAACCTTGACCACAGCATTCCTTTTCTGGCTTTCATTTTGGCTTTTTCCATCCACTTTATGGTCAGTCTTTAGTTTTTTATTCACAGTAGTCACACTCTCGTTTCTTCGTTTTTTATTATCCTCATATTTTGAAGAGTCACTTGCATTGCCACCTTTTCTGATTTCCTTTTTTTCTGCAACAACACTGTTTTTGCACTTGTCACACAAGACCTGCCTGGGTCGTAGCTTGATAGCATTCATAATAGAAGTGGGTTCCTCCCTGTACATTTTACGCTTGGGCCGCTTAATTTTCCGGGGTGGAGGCTGAGGTATTGACTGGTTATAGGTATCCCTGATAAACAAAGGAGGAGGGTACGGAGCTCCCTCGTGAAAGAGGGGAGGTGGTTTAGAAGTCCATAGGCTTTTAGCTAAGCTAGGTTCTGATGGCTGCGTGGGGGAAGAGTCATCAGGGACTGCAGCATTAGATTCACACTTCACTTGTGCCTCATCTTGGAATGGTTTGCTTTGGAGCTGCATGGCTTCAGGTTTATCCTTGTATTCCCTTTTAGGAAATATGGTCACAGGGATTCCATGGGGTCCAAACCTTAAAGAGAAAAAGAAAAAACATAGAGGTTTTGAGTGTTTTTTGTTTGTTTTTAAACACAAACGAGCCCGAGAAGCTCTCTATGTTACATAACTATCATTTGAGCAATATGGGTGCTGGGGAAAGCCAAAGCATCATATCTGGCCCTACTTTTAAGTTTTAAAAAAGCATGATACAAAAGCTAAATCAGCAGAAAATGTGAAATACACAGCTTTACTTGCGTTGAATTCTGTTGTACTAAACATATTTAACCTTAGTAAGTAAGCCCTGAACAAACTACACAGAATTGTCTAGAAACTGCTTTAAAACATCTCTATTTTTAGAAAAGGCTCGAAAACACACAGACTACATACTCACCAGGTATCCTCTCACCTCAATCTGCACAGGATAAATGTCTATATTAAGGCAATTTAAATAAAGAGCGAGGCTCCATTGTTTTAAATAATTCTTCATATTCTCACAGACCACAAAATACTGAACTTGTCCTAGATTTAATCATAACAAATACACAATGCATAAACACTAACATTTAAGAGATGGTGCTGTCATTCCTCATCTATAAGAAGCATCCATGAAAGAAGAGCAGTTCAACTGCTCTTGATTATCTGGTGCAGAACAGGCTAAACCTTGCCAGGCCATTCAAATTAGTTCTAGCAAAAACATCCTTACCATTTCAATCTGGTACAAACAATTTCCCCCCATTCCGCAAATGGATTACTACCTTAAACTACCGCCCACCTTCTCCAGAAAGCTCTAGGTATTTCAAGATCTGTACTGCTGCATTTAAGATGTTTATAGAATATAACCACCCTGACCAGTTCTAAGACAGCAGAATGAAAAGTCCCTCTAAGACTTAAGCATTAGTTCCTGTAGCAGCAGGAGTATGTTGCTCAAGCGGGAAACCAGTGCTTCTTGCAAAGTTTTATGGAGAGGGAAACATTTTATCAGTTTGCAAAGCTTCCCTTTGCAGAAGAAATCAAATAATACCCACATTTTTCAACAATGTTCTCTCTCAGTACCTAGAACAGGAAACGAGGGGTTGTAGAAGCTCATGTGCCCTTTCCTCTGTCCCTACACAAGCTTCGACTAAACCATTCTGAATCCAGCTCCCACTGACACCACAGTATTTGGTTTATATTAGGTGATATTGCAACCAGTTTGACCTTAATGCAGCAACAACACGATAGACAAGCTGCAATACAAATGCCAACCCTACACCTTTGGATCCTTTCAAATCATCAAAGACTTGTTTTTAGGTTAATGCTAGTTCATTTGGCACTGCAGCTGCTTAGCTGCAACATCCTTTTAATTGATTTAGCTGAAACTTACTTACAATCTGTGGTTGTCTCTTAACTAGATAAATGCCAAATTCTTGTTCATTTCCCCTTACTTTTACAAGAAACAGGTGTCTTATACAAGTGGCTAGATTTTGGCTTTTATTTCTTGAAAATTTATTTTGAAACAGGTCATCCTAGCTAGCCCAGTTTTCACTTTTGGGCGCTTTCACACACCTGCAAGCCTCTATTCACACTTGAAGTTGCAATTAAAGCAAAAAAAACATCCAAGACTGAACTACCCAGTCAGTCTGCACTTCATATTAAGAGAGGAATAGAAGTAGCAAGCAAGCTAGTCAAGGGGCAACCCAATGAGTTTTGAAAGGAATTCAAACACTGGACAATTTACATATAAACAGTACCAATGTACAGAGAGATACTCCTGCACTCACACCTGTGAGCCCCAGAGACAGACACAGGAGCCCTCAAGCAGCTTCAGCACTATTCTGGCATTATATATGGACTATTATGTACTCTTTGCCATGAAATATTCTATCATTGCAGCAAAATTCATGTCACAGGGCAGGCTCACGTCCATTGAACCTCAGTTCAGAGCACCGCTTGTTCATGAAGCGATCTACTGGACTACTGAAGGCCACAGTGAATTACCAACATGTAGCAGCAGATGCAAGCATTTTTCCAGCCTCCTGGGAAAAAACAAAAACCAAAACACAGCCAGCTTGGCATTAATCCACACGGAATCATAATCATAAGCTTTAAAATTGCATTAAAGTCGATAAAAAAATGTAATAAAGTTTCTTTTCCACAGCTTCCCTTTTGTTAACAACTACAAATAAGTAATTTAAGTCTAAATAAGATTTATTATCTGCTGATAATAAGCTTGCAGTATTTAGAATGGTGCTGGTATCCGGATATTCATCTTTTTGTAGCAGCAAAATCTGGATTCTATCCTAATAAAAAACTTACTGTAAGTATTCCTAGACAAGGCAAGAATTATTGCCTAAATTTCAATCCCAAACATCAGACCAGAAAAGTAAGAATAGGCCTGTGATATGAGGAAGAGCAAAAGCCATGCAGAAAGACATGACACCTTCACTGCCTCAGAAATCTAAAATTCACTTCAAGACATTTTCAGGGACCAGTGCATAAACGTGTCTCCTAGAGGACCTTTTCACACAATCAGTGTTAAGAAGCTAATGACTTTGAGCACTAACCTGGGAAGAAGAAGGTCACAGAGAACTGCTGAGAGGTTTCCAGCAGTATCTGGTTTAAATGCTTCATTTCCCTTCCCTAGATTTATTTTTTCAACTTCTACTGCCTCAGAAACATGAGTAAAACCAGCATGATTAACATTCCAAGTAAACCAGTGGAAAGAGCAGCATACAACTGATACCATGAAGGAAGCCAAGATTGTTACTGTACCTCCTACTAACCTCTTCTTTTGAGCATCTAATACAGGTCAAATTGCTGAGGAACAGGAAGCTAAAGTACAGTGTTTTACACTAAAAAACCCTCCAGCAGGTCTACATCTTGTAAGACATAAAAACACCCTATAATGAATCTCTGAACCTGGGACCTGTCTCACAAGAGGTATTGGTTTAAACAAATGTGCTAGAATTTGCTGTCCTAATCTATTTAAATAATAATGAAGTTTAGAATTAGAGAATATTCACAACTATTACCTACTACCAGCTATACCAAGAGCAAAAAAAGACATTATTCCTATAAATTGTATTAATATATAAACACATCATCAGTGAAGACATAGCTCACGTGATATGAGATAACCTTTGCAAACCCAGAGAGGGAAGAGTATTTTCAAAAGTTGAAGAGAGAGAGAGAGAGAGAGAGAGAGAAAACAAGGACAGATTTAGGAATGGAACAGAGTAAATAGGAAGACAAAGGAGAAAGTTAAGAAGAAAAGACAAATCAACATGGTATCAGCTTCTTAACACAGAAAGCAGAATGAAGGTGTGATCAAACAAACCCATCAAAGATAACATAGGGTAGAACACGTAATGAGCAGAACATCCAAAGAGTTTAACCAACTTTGTGGCATTTATTACAAACACTAGAATGTTCAGGCCCGTTTTTTGCTCCCACGTTTGGCAGACCCTGAAGGCAAGTGAACTTGGGTACTGGGAACAAAAGTACACTCCTGTACACATATGATTCCTACAGCAGGACTACTACAGTGGATATATACTGCTATTCAAGTTGTATGAGCACAGGAGCACACACAAATGTATGTGCACACATATGTGTTTAAAATGTGAGACAAAGAACAAGCCCCAGTTTAATTTGTAACAATGTGCACAAAGATTTAACTGATACATCCTGGGACAGAGGGTGAAGATGTTCCATGAAGTGTTACACTTTCATCTTTGGTCTGCAATGTCTTAACTTCATTTCTCTAAAAAAAAAAAAAAAAAAAAAAAAAAAAAAAAAAAAAAAGGCAAAACTGAGAGGATCTTGTTCTGACAAAAAGAACCAAAGAAAGGGAGTGACTCACTTTTTTCCTTCCCCCTCAAACATGGAATCAGTACCAATGAAACAGCTACTCCCTGTGTGTGCTAAGCGTTAAACCAAGTCTGCTGGAAATGACTATAAGCAGAACCGATCTTCACCACTAAGGTCGGAAGGTAGCCTGCAGTAATCTCCCATTAACATTTTACATATTTTTCTTTTCTACTCAATACCATCATTATGTGTTTTCAGAAGTCAAAACAGGGATTTTTTTTTTCTTTTATCACCTGGACCAAGGTTCAAAGGCTTGAAACACTAGGAATAAAACAATATGCCCCTGCAGTGCAGGGCTAACTATATGCCACAAATGCAGCTAATCTGCATTAGGCTTTTAATTATGATATATAAATGGACTATATAACTGGAAGGTTTCCATAACCTTGCTGAAATAAAGCACACAAAGAAGCCAAACTATCAGCAGAGCAGTTACTCACCTCCACAGTAATACAACATCAGGCCAAAATGACTAGGAAATTCCCACATCACTTGGAGCACTAAAAGCGGGGTGAAAGACTGCAGTTTAAGTGACCCTCTCAGCAGGTGTCATCAAGAACACCAATTGCAAAGCTCCTGCATCAAGAGAAATTTGGTTGAAGTAATGACACAGGGAAATCCATTGGGATTAGTGTTTTCAAGCAGGTGCACTGGCCTGGCAGCAAAACTTTGGCTTCTGGCAAACTTTCAATGCAGAGGAAAGACAAGCTCAGGCTGTGCATACAACCAACCGAGCTGGAAACAGGATCTCGAGAAGGCTGGTCAGAAGTGTCCAAGAGAACAGCTGCTTTTAATCATTCCTAACCACTGTCACCTAGAGCTCCTTCTGCAACAACTATACAAATGGAAAGCTATGATACCAAATAATATGCAAATACACACACACAAAAGTATTAACTTACAGTATATTCAAAGTCCTTCTTTGGAGGACTTGGACTTCCAAGAAACAAAAATCACAGAAGTCTGGACCAGGAAGTAAACTTCCAAGAATTAGCCACTGTAGAGATTAAACACTGTCTACGCTGACAAACCTCAAGGGCACTTACATGGTGCCCAATAGCTACTTTTGCCTCACAGATGTGGGAGGGCATCCCTCACCTTCTCACCATAAAATGGGCATGCAAACTCTCAGAATTTCTTTCAATCTTCTGCAAAAGCACCTTCATAATAGTAGGCCTGAACACCAAGA